TTGAGCATTACTGATCTACCAAGCACTGATTCCGAAACCATTGTGAGTTCACTTGACAGAAAGCTTATAGAAAAAAAAAAAAAAACCTGGATTACAAGACAATAATTTCTTGCACTTTCGATGGTGCCGGCAATTTTTCAGGAAAACTAAGTGGTGTGTGAAAATACTTTCAGAGAGAGCAGGAAGGGAAATACTTTATGTACATTGTAGAGCCCATATTTTATCTTTAGTCTTAATCAGCGCTAGAAATAATATCGTGTCTGTGAAGAGGGTTCTTCAAGTCATCAAAGACGTATATTCGCTGTCATCAAAGCGTGAATGCGTGTTGCACGAGGTTCAGAGGTCATTGCAAGAACTAGAACTAAAAATTCCAGAATCAGTCGAAGTGCGCCGGTTCAGTAATTACAAATCAGTTCGTGTCGTCTTAACTTGTCACTTATCAATTATGATGGTCTGCGAGCACCTACACAAAGATGGTGCAGACTTAGCATCGTTAGCAAGAGATATCTTGCTGGAAATGAATAAATCTAGTTTTTGGTTACCAAAGCAGTTTAGAATGAGTTTTATGTGCAGTATCTAATGTCAGCAACGTTTTGTAAAAAGAAAACCTAAACCTGTCGTCAGATCCTCAGCTTGTGGCGTCGACGATAGCACATTTGAGAGATATAGGGACATATATGTAATGAAAACTCTATTGCTATAATTGTCGTAGATCTCAAAGCAAAGGCTTTTGATGTGCGGCAGATTCTTTAAATTAGCCAAAAAGTCAAACCTTAAAAAAAAATTAAAAACTTGTTTATATTATGATTGAACAAACAGAGCACCGATTCAATGATCAAGTGGTCTCCCTCATTAACGTATGTGCTTCTTTCCAAACGGTCCAGTTAATGTGCAATTTAACACATGATGATGTTAGAATAAGATGTAGCTTCTTTAATGGACTGAATGCTAATGCTATGTGGGCTGACTTGAGCTACTTCAAATACGTTGCAAAGGAACAAGAAGATCAAGATAAGTATGTTGTGCATTACTTGTGGAAAGCAAACATCGGTTACAACAATCTTTTTTGTACACCCAGTAACACAGCGGTATGTCTGCGGAGTTACAACGCTAGAAACCGGGTTTCGATACTCGTGGTGGGCAGAGAACAGATAATCCATTGTGTAGCTTTGTGCATAACAAACAAACTAAATATCCTGTATACAAAAGAAGTGGTTGTTTGAAGTTAAGCACAAAGCTATACAATGGGCTATCTGTGCTCTGCCCACCACGGGTATCTAAACCTGGTTTCTAGTGTTGTAAGTCCGCAGACATACCGCTGTGCCACTGGAGGGTAACAAAAAATGTATTATACAATAGTTCTACTACTTTTAATGTGCCGCTTGAATGATAATACCTGTGTTCTTATTAGATAACTAAATATCTAAACTTAAAATACACTCCAAGTTTAATTGTCTACTGAAATTTTATGGTTTATATTTGACCTAATAATAAAGCAAGTTACTTTCTGTTTATACAAAAATTGTCCTGTTTCGATCCTTTACACGTACTTGAGATCGCAGACAGTAATTTTCAAATAAGTTTTAGCACGATTTTTATGGTGTGAACGCTTCTTCCAAGCTGGATGAAGCGTGATTATAATTTATTTTACTGTACTTGTCATAAGACAATAGTACTAGCATTAGTATCTAGACACTTAGAGATTTCCAAATATTAGAATAGTGAATAATCATAGTATTCCAACCACACTATATTCGCCATTCCTATTACCGACGATACGTTTCGCTCAATCCAAAGCTTTTCAGGATGGATGGAATACAACAAAAATAGCAGTTTTTTGGATTTTACGAAATAAATACAAGCATGTTAAATGTACATGTGGAAATAATTTTTTTTTATTAAGACTACTGAGCTAAAACTTAAATTAGCATAAATACATATGTTTTATTATGGTAAAGTACTGTACTTATCTGCATGAAGAGTAATTATTAATTGTTAAATTATATTACTAATTTAAATAACTTTGTAGAACAATAGTATTCTAGCTATTTGAATTATTTGCTATCATATAAGTACCTATATGCACTACTGATATAACACGTTAGCATACTCCATTATTTTTTTGGGGGGGGGGGGCTTTTCCTTAAATAACTTACATGCAGTTTCAATGTTGATAGCATTGTCATAATGATTATGTATTAAAGCTAGAGCTCTCAGTCTTTCTTCGGTAACTATTATATTTCAGTGACACGACGAAGATTGATTGTGGGCAAAACCACGTGTAGCTGTAAGATATTCACAACTGTTTCACTTTAGGTTTAATGCGAGCGTTATGATTTGGATAGTTTATATAACGTGAGTGTCATATTTAGTTATTTTCAGTAGCGAGAGTTTATGGCAAGTGGTTTTACGAATCATAATCATACGTTGTGTAGCGTGTACGTTCAATTGCTATGAGTTAGCGATTGATATATTGCTGCGTCATGTTAGTAGAACTTTCTGAATTTTTCTCGTTGTTTTAATAGAGTATTATTGCATCAGAACATCTGGTATTGCGTGGACTCTTCTAGACTTTTGTTGAGGTATAAATACGCTTTGAAAGATTATTATTTAAATCTAGACTGCGTGATTGTGAAATTATCACAGACTGTATTGTAATAACAGAGCAGAGAAGAATAATTCGTCTTGTCAATTTTATTCTAAAGTAATTAGACCAACCTGTGTGGACTTTGGCAAAAAAAACAAAACAATTATTTATAGCTCTGGATACAACTGTGATAAACAACAGTGTAACGAAGATTTGTATATATGCTGCCTTGTTTTAATATATTATTTTAAACAAGTGGACTGTGTTGCTGTTTGTTTATTATTGAAATTTATCGTCAACAAGTCACAGACACCTACTGTAAAGAATCCGGCTTACAAAACCTGACAGTAGCAATAAGACTTCGGCTTCCAATTACAAACTATCAAAAGAAACCAATGCATGCGACTATTTCAAGCCAAAAGGTGCTAATCTGTCATCAGAAGAGTGTAGACTATGTAGAAAACGTTAAATACCATAAGCATCTGCGCTATAACTATATAAGCATTTTTTTTTTTTACATTACAAAGATAAGGGGTACGGCCAAACCCCCATCCCCCTGCGAAAGTGCGTGTATTTATCATAAGGGGCAAGCATGGACTAGTGGTTAAGGTGTTGACTTTAAATCTGTGGGTCACAAGTTCTATTTCTCGTCACCAAACATGCTCGCTCTTTCAGCAGTGAGAGCGTTATAAAGTGACGGTCAATCCAATAATTCGTTGGTAGAAGAGTAGCCCAAGAGGTGGCGTGAGTAGTGTTGACTAGCTGCCTTACCTCTAGTCTATTACTGCTGAATTAGGGACAGCAAGCTTAGATAGTCTTTGTGTAGCTTTGTGCAATATTCAAAACAAACAAAACCATAAGTCATCGGTACTAGATCTATTATATATTTAACACAGCTTTTTTATCTCGTCCCTTATTGATTTTCAAAAAGAGTGTAGATTGTTTGTTTTAATTATGCACAAAGCTACACAAGGGCTATCTGTGCTCTGCCC